GGGGGTCACAACATCACCATCAATGCTGAACACCCTCTCGCTTGGAACGCAGGTCGGTGGACAGGATGGGTGTTCCCGAGCAACCATGGCCAGATCCTGCCACATCTGGCTATGGCTTGCCCAGTAGGCCAAGGGGTCTCACAGCAGTGGCTCCACGTCCTCGGCAAGATAGGCAGCCACCGAGGCCTGAGCACTACCTGCCTGATGGTGGGGTCTGGTGCCTCTGGACCCCACAGTGGAAGCCATGCCCTTGGCCCACATTGGCAGCATCTGTGGTGGAGGAGGAGACTGGCTGGCAGATAGCATGCTAGCATGGGACAGCGGATCCCCCTCTTCCACGTCCCCCCAACCTCCGTCCTTCTGCCTTCCTGACTATGTTCACCAGCACCCCTGTAATCCAGGGTTTTGCTACCACATGCACTCCCCTTCACCTTCGGGTCACGCATGGTGGCCAGCATGTACTGGACCATGAGGGATCAAGCCGTTTTGGTCTCCATTTAGTTCTGAAGTTCCCTTGCTACAGGGATCACCTGGCTAAGGAGGGTCTCAGTGGCCTTGAGGAAGGGCTTGAGGACCATGAAGATCTGGGAGATAGTATCCACCCAGCTGATCCCAATCTCCCCGAACAAGGCCATCTCATGGATGGCCTTCTGTTGCTCCACCAGTCTCTCAACCACCAGGTATGTGGAGCTCCACCGAGTCTCTGCATCCAGCATGATTTTGTGCTGTGGGATGTTCAGCTCTGCCTTTCTCCTGCAGTATCTTGCCCCCCTTGATGCTCTGGTGGAAGTAGCCGCCACCTTTCTACATTTGAAATGAGCTTGCTGGTGGTGCTGGCGCCGTCACTGGCAGCCCTGTCCCCCTCCAAGGCATCCCTGACAATGAGGTGGATCTTGTGTGACACACAGCAGATGCCAACAAAGTTGGCATCGTGGAGCGCCTTGACCATATTGGCCACATTGTTGGTGACCATGAACCTGCGGGTGAGCTCGCCCTGCCCAACAAGCCACCCCTGCGCCCCATGATCTCGGTTCCCGTGTGGGACTCATTGGCTTGAAGGAGAGCCCACTGACGCCCTGACTGATTGCACCAGTGCCCTGTGAGGAAGAGGTATGCACAATCTCCACCCCAGCTACATAAGATGTCCGAGGTGAAGTGTAAGGCCACCCATGGACCTGCCTTGCACAGCCCTCAAGTACTCCCTGCATGCCTCATACAGGGAGGACACAACCGTCGTGCTGAAGGTGGTGCATGCGGGCACTTGGTATGATGGGGCTATGAACGCCATGAGCCGCCTGGACCCTGGCTGCTCAACAGAGGAGAAGGGCTGGCCATCCACAGCAAGCATCTCCCCAGTGCTCTGGGCGATCTCGCTCACCCTTGCAAGATGCCCCACTTTCTGTCCACCTTTCCTCCACTGTTCGAGGGTGGCCTGCCTCTGCGTCAGGGGGACAGGGGCTTTCAAGCGAGAGGGGGACTTATTTTGGGGCATGCTCCCACTGGTGCCAGGCTGAGGAGGAGCAAGGGCAAGAGGGTGGTGCCTGCAGAGATGTATCAGCTTCCCCATGGTGCTCATGCATTTCGCTCCCTCGCCCCGGCTGCTTTTGGCTTGGCAGTGCAGGTAGGTAGCGTGTGTGGGATCATCTGCAACCTCACAATGATCCCAGACCACACTACCCCTTTGCTTCTGGGGTGCAGGTGGGGCTCCTGCCTTATCTCCCTCCTCAGTAGGCAGAGACACAACAAGAAGAGGAGCTGAGCCACCTGCCCCCACAGCCTCCTCCACAGTCCCTTCCAGGGAAGGGGACCTGGATCTGGACCACAATCAATATCTAGGGAAGCTTTGAGGGGTGTGGAGCACAAACGCTGCTTCCCTGTTCTTTGAGCTGCCCATCTCACTCGGTGCAGCTGCATGGATGTTGCAGTGCCGGAGCTCTGCAGCGTGGCGCTCTGGGCATTCACTGTTAGGGTTGTGCAGGAGGGTCCTGATGTTCCAGGACCCGAAAATGACGGTGTGTCTTTGCTGGTATTTTCAACTGCAGTAAAGGTGATCCCACTGGATGCGGTTATCCAGTCAGGAAGACGGCAGACAGGCTGTGTTTAGGGCCCCTTTGCTCACCCCACATGGGGAGGGGGTTAGAAGAGCGGATCCTGCAGCGGGCTGCTCGGTCACAGTTACAGCTGCCAGATCGCACTCCTGTCTTGTCCAGATGCTAGACCACCTTCCTGTAACTGCCGCCTCCGCATCGGTTCATAACTAGGAGCTTCCCAAGCCTGCTCCCATCGCCGTTGGCTGGTCACCAAAGGGCTTGAGGGATGTGCTGGAAAAGCTGTTTTCATGGAAGATGCTTGTGCGTGACTTCTTTCATTGTGAAGAAGCTGCTGCACATCAGCTTCCACGTGGCTCTTGACAGAACAAGACCTCGATCCACTGGCAAGGAGACCAAGGCAACTGGGATCTCGTTCCACTGCAGCCTTCATCCACTTTCACAGCCATTGAGGCTCTAACATCTTCCTCCGCCTGCTCCGCCATTGAGGACTTGTAGACCCATGGCTGAGGGCTGAGCAGACTTATTATAGCGGTGACCTGTACTCACCGTGTTAGTACTGTCAAAGGATAGATGTGGCTTTTCAGGAGGGAAAGCATTGCCATCTGCTGTCCTCATCCCATCCTGGTGTTGCTGCTGCTGCTGCTTGGTCCACAACTGCTAATTCATCAGAGTTACCCTGCTTATTTCACAGCTAACCTTCCCTGAAGGTCATCTGCCACATGGACGCGCTGGGTAGCAGTACAGCTCTGCCCCACAGAAATCTATCTATCTATCTATCTGTCTGTCTGTCTGTCTGTCTACACATCAGGTGTAGAGATGTACAAAAATGCCATGTTAGCCTAATATTTACCAAGTGTTTACCTAAAGTCTTTGCAAGTAATTGGCCTTTTTGTAACAATCACTCATGCCACAAGGAAAATGCAATGAATAGTATAACATTATCCATGGATGGGAGCAAGATTGTGCAGCTTTCCTGTAGTAATCACTTTAGACATGTCTTGTTAAGTTCTGAAAACCCCTGAAGTCAATATGCCTTTTCGAATGAACCGTTAAGGTAAATCAGAAAATATCTACAGACAACAATGTCAGAGACAAACACAATGGACACATCCAGAAAATGCCACATGTGCAAACACACAGCAGTTTGCAGGTGCAGTCTAGGTTACCGTGAATTACTGTGAATGGAACCAACCCCACCGTATAAATGCAGGTTTCTGTAATGCAGTTAGTGGGAACTGCTCTAAATTTTATGGACCTTAGTGCAACCCTCCTGCTCTATTCAGTTAATTTTTTTTCCAACTACTCCAAAACTGTAAGAGAGGATGAATATTCAAGCCCCCACTGGAGCCTTGATATCAATAAGCAGGGGATTACAGCCTAGACAAAATCTTGAATGGTCTTGCACCCGTGGTTCAGAATGGGTGCTGAAGGTACGTCTCTGAGGTGCGTATCACTGCCTGTTCCCAGGGGTCCAGGAACAGTTGCTTCATATTTGCAAGGCTCTTTGAAATCCACAGCTGGAAGGTGCTATAAAAATGCCAAAGGATTTGCATGCTCTGTTATATTTCGGCATGTTAGCGTGAATGTGTGCAGGGTTCTTTGATGCCTTTCCCACAGTTGCATACAGGGGTGCATCCAGAGCGGGTGCGGGGGCATGGTTGCACTCCCTTCGGCTGTGCTGCATGGCAGGTCATGGTGTGGGGTTTGGCCAGAGTCTCTGCATTCATGCAGCTCCGGAGCTACCGCTTGTCTCCTCCTTTCCCATCTAGCACAGCATCTGGTAAGAGCAGACAGCAGCCGTGCTTATGTCTTAGGCACCAGAAACATGTGAAAACAGGCCCTGGCTGGACCCCCCCCCCCCGACCAGCTGGGGGGCTCAAGGCCCCCTGCCCATGCGAGGCCCTG